CCAGAAAAAAGTCAAATAGAAGTATATAAAATACATACCTTGGGGTTGGATCTGTCACCAAAACAACTGACAAGCAGAACCCTACCGAAAATTTGCAGTTTGACTAACAACTTTGAGATATTGGTAGGAACAGACGAGGGCAAATGCTATCACTTTGAAGATAAAGAAATAAGTAGTGAAAATGTCTGACATTGATTGTTCCTCAATCACTATGACTTTCAGTAGATAATTAAATCTCACTCTTTGGATTTAACGATGTATGGCCTACCTGAAGGTTGCCACTGCAGAGGTGCTGGCGACCCAAAGCATGAATTGAAGAAAGAAAAGTGAGAATTAGTGTGTATAGTGAGATATACATAAACAGTGAGTCAATTTTCTGAGAAATTGAATATCAAAATGTCCAATTTAAAAGGATGATATAAATAAGATGTGAAAGAAACGAGAACAACTCTTATAAGGTTTCTGTTACTGTTATATTGACGTAAGCAAAAATAATCATTTATATGTATGCATATCTCACAATCAACAAAAAAGAAACAAAAAATATAGCTAATTCATGAAAATTTGTAAGACGTAGTTATATCTATAAAGTATTCTTGCCCAATTGACTGAACCTACATTTTAACGAATTATCTAATGTTAAAAAGTTGAAATTTGATATAGTTATTATAGATGAGTATTTTTATACAATAATTCACTAACGTAATCATCAGATCATCCCCATGTCATAATAATGAAAATTGTCAAATGTCATATTGAACGTCCGCTATATTGAATAAGAATGACGTCACTTTGCTTATTGTATTTGTTTCATCAACTCTTTCATTTGTTATCCATAATATGGGGTAGTTATGGAAATTATAAGTCGATATCTTACGGCGGCCGCTATATTGGATCTAGAATGACGCCGCCTTGCTTATTGTGTTTCTCTCGTCAAGCTCTTCCATTTGATACCCATATCATATACTATGAAAATGTGTGCGTCATTATGTAGCATACGCCATATTAGATTCAAAATGGCGGCAGTTGATTCGTTATGTATTGCCACACGAACCCGGCATACAAAATTTCAGTTCAATTGGTTGAGGTTAATTAGTTCAAAATGCATTTTCAAGATTTGTCCCACACGAACTAACATACTAAAAGTTGCTTGTACAAAGCAATTTATATTCAAATCCCAGCGTAAATTAAGAAAGGAGAAATGAAGATACTCTGAATTGCCAAACAATCTAAGTATAAAATTTTATTAGCTACCTAAATACGCAATGTATGCCTTTATAAACGAGTTTGTATTGTATTGCTTACCGTTCCCGAATTTAGAATACCCAGTGCATATCTATGGAGTGATTTAGCAAAGTAGAGTTAGAATTCAACGTAGATTTCAACTAGTCTTAGTGGTTTCTCATGTAATACAAATTGGCTCAGCTTGGGGAGAAAAATATACATAAACAACTTTGTCGTAGTTAATTATTATAAAAAAATCTCTTCATTTAATTTCGTGGGACTTGAAAAAAGTATGATCGTTTCTTCGAAAACGCCCATATACTACAATATGTACAGCTAGAAGGGAAATAGTGCGAAAAGTGAATATTACGTTCCGTCCTCGTCGAAGTAAATATTTAGAATACATATCGTAGTACCCTCGTAGTAGTACCCAACGGCCACGATTTTAAAGCGCGCACGCAGAGAAGGGAAGCGGCACCGCGCCTCTTGCCCCTACCTTTCTCCCCTCTGGCCGCCTATAAACCTTCATTCCTTATTCTCGTGCCCGACCATCAACTCGTTAATCGGCGCGCGTCGTTAACGTGCAGTGCAGTGTCGAGGATCCGCTGAACATTTATAATTAGAAAACAGGACAGAAGGTTGGCCGATAGATGTGCATTGTCGAACGAAATACCGACCGACGGTCGCCTGAAGGTTCCTTTCGTCGGGTACCAAAATTAGAAAGTGACGTGCAGGCTTCTTTTTCTGAAGGGGCGTCACCATCAGGTAACTGTCAACTTACCGATCTGTTTTAGGTACAAGTTAAATGAATATTAGTATGGATGCCTCACCGGCGCTGCAAATTGTGCCTTCCATGACGTTTGGGATAACGTTCTGACACTGTTGCTTGGGATAACAACCTGGACCTAGCTGGTGATGGCCAACTTCATACCTAGGATGAAAAATGACGTTTGGGATAACGCTGAAACATTGGACTCGGTTGCTTGGGATAGCAACGTGGACCTGGCTTGGGATAGTCATCTCCACACCAAGGACGAACGAAGACGTTTTAGATAACGTGGAAGCATTAAATTCGGTTGCTTGGGATAGCAACGTGGACCTAGCTTGTGATAGTCCACACCAAGGACGAATGAAGATGTTTGTAAAAATGACTCAATACTGAACTTCGTTGCACAAATAACAATACTGAAAGCGTTTGGGACAACGTAGCAACAAGGTATGGTCAACAATCTTTTCTCATTTGCTTGTGATAGCAAATTTCATCTGGTTGGTGATAACCATGGAACAGGACTGTAAGTTTGAACATGGCAGGCTAGGAAGTTGTTAAGATATATTAGGTATGTTATGCGAGGTTAGCGTTATATTTTGCTAGTGATGGTGTAACGGTTTCACCGTCCGATCGTATTTATTAAATCGCTTCTCGATTATCATTTCGTTAATCCCATCTCTAGCTTTTTTGCTTGGAAAATTTTCCGCTTGGAGCGCTTGATGCGGAGTTCCTGATCTGCGATCTTCCTCGCGCTTCCTTTTCACTTGAGCCGCCGATCGAGCAACGGCTAGAAATTTCTTCTCAGTAGCACAAGGTTATATAGCACCATGTGCTAGAATTTTCTAGAATGTGTGTCCGTATAGGACAAAAATGATTGGGGCCACCCCCTTTCTCTTTCCCTTTCACTTTGCCTAGCCTTGGCCAATATTTTCACCCATGCATGTACCTTGGCAGCGCCATCGCCTTTAACTTCGCCTACAACTGGTTGTGAAGCCACTATATGGAGGTCACCCCTCATAACTGGGACCTCCCCTTCAAGCCCCTGGCCATCCTGGCTTCAGTCGAGTAAAAATGGACCAGCGAAAGATAAGTCGATAGCGTTATAGCAGCGCCAAAGATGTAAAACTTATTTTGTTATTTTTGTAAAATGGTAATGTAATGAAAATGCCTTTTTTTTGTTAAATAAAATCTGTTAAATTTTTGTGTTCTGTTTGTTCTTCTATCCTCTAGCCATGCCATGGTCGACACACAGCTACACGCCTGTAGATGTTTTCATGCCACTGACTGAGCTACCGGAAGCTAATTGTAACCCCCTTTCTGTGATTGTGCAGAAAAGTTGGAATCTTCATTGCATTCCATCTTTTCTGGACTTTTTGCGGAAAGGAAGCGTTACATAAATTGGCACCCCCAACGTGGGGCTTCGATAGGTGTTTGGCTTTGTCGACAAGTGGTTTGCTAGTGGAAGATTGGCAGACAGAACATAGTTTTCAAAATTCTTTACAATCTTTGGCAGCATTTCTATTTTTAATTGCTTTTGGTACTCAAATTTCTAATTCCTTAATCATCCTTACTTTTTGCTTAATGTTTAAAATTTTTATCAAAAGATTAAAATTTTTCCACCTGTTTATTTCATAGGCATACTATTAACTTTTAAATTGTCTTGTTTAGTAGTCAGCGAGATCATTGCCAGAATTTTTTTTCTCACATACTACTATAGTTTTTATTTACTGCTGGGGACAGTTATAACTTTTTTCTCATTGTACTTTTGAGATTGATGATATTTTGATATTTTTTTGTTGTTGAATATTGATAGTCTGGGGACTTTAGGTTTCCCAGCATTTTTGTCGAATATCATCAAACTTTTGATTGAGGTTGTGACTATTGTTGTTGATAGTTTACATATTCTTATATGCTTTTCATTTTTGATCACTAACCTCTTAGTTTTTGAAAGTATTTCTTCATGTGCAGTTTTTTTGATTTCTTGAGACTTTTCATGTATGCATATATAGCCTAATTGTTGGATCTCTGGTGTACTGATATAGCTCTCATGATGTTTGGTACGTAGGAAATTTACTTTCAAAATTATTTTTGCCTTCCCCAAATGTATTTACTTTTTGAATTTTTGACTGTACTTGAACTTTTGATCATTTGTTTTCATTCTGATGGCAATAATCTACTGACTAGAGTTATCTGGAGTAAATCATTTTGCGATTTATCCATTTTTCTGAATTATATGAAATTGATATTCATAATTTTTCGTATATTTTGGCGGTTTACTTTTTTTCAAGTATTGACACTTGGACATAGTACTTTGATACTTACCTTTCTTTTTTTTCAAGAAACAAATGATGTTTTTCTTGACTATATTTTTGCTACTTTTCAATGAGGGGGTGACTCCTAAGTCATTTTTACCTATACAAAGACACACATACTCATTTATGGTAATTAAATGTCAACTTGTTGTTTAAATATATAGTATACGTTCCTCAGTAACTATTGTAGTAATTTTGTCTCTTGTTTGGAGCATAAGTTTTCATAATTTTAATGTTTTATAGTTTTATCTGGCATATTCTTTGGGGGAAATTAGAACATTAGTGTCTGATTTTCCATTGGATGAACAGGACTTGAACGTCTCCGTACTTTTTTAATGTATGTCAGATATAAAATAATTTTTTTTAAGATTCGGCTGCTCCTGTTTTTGTATTGAAATTTTTTGCTTGTATTGTTAGTTTTTTATGGTGTTTTAGATCCTTGTCATTTATTGATGTATTAAGGTTTTAATTTTTTTTAAAATATAATAATTACAAAAAAATCCGCTCAATCGAAGGGGGCGAGTTTTTCGATCTGTACATTGGAGCGAGTAGGTTTTCCTATATTCATTTCCTAGTACAGATGCGAACGGATAAGAATTTCCTTTGATAATTGCTAAGCTAATTTACTGTAAAAGGCAGTTGAATGTTTACTTTGGACATTTGTCATCGTTGATCCTTCAACCTTTTGAAATATTACAATTTGTCCAATACTCATATTTCCGCTCAATCGAAGGGGGCGAGTTTTTCGATCTGTACATTGGAGCGAGTAGGTTTTCCTATGTTTATTTCCTAGTACAGATGCGAACGGAGAAGAATTTCCTTTGATAATGAATAAACTTATTTGCTGTAAGAGGCAGCTGAATGTTTACTTTGGACATTTGTCATCGTTGATCCTTCAACCTTTTGAAATATTACAATTTGTCCAATACTCATATTTCCGCTCAATCGAAGGGGGCGAGTTTTTCGATCTGTACATTGGAGCGAGTAGGTTTTCCTATGTTTATTTCCTAGTACAGATGCGAACGGACAAGAATTTCCTTTGATAATTGTTAAGCTAATTTCCTGTAAAAGGCAGGTGAATGTTTACTTTGGACATTAGTCATCGTTGTTCTTTCAACCTTTTGAACCATTACGTCAGTCCACCATGTACAAAATTTACAAGTAATCATTATTTTTCTGATTCCAATTTAATGTGTATACTTCATCTTTTGAATATTTCATTTTTCTGAGTGTACTCAAAATTTAAATTGCATTCCCGATCTAAATCATGTGACAAATACTGTGTATAATATTTTATAATGTTTTTATGCGTATATTTTCTGAATTTCCTTTACATACTTACGTACTTCTATTTTTGAAGTCTATTACTTTTGAAGTTTTTGATAGTATCCCCTTTTTGAATTCATTATAACTTTCTTCGAGAGCACAGACTTACATTGATTTTTGGTTCAAACTTTTGATGTTTGTTCACATATTTTTGAGTGGTTTTGAACTTTGACAGTATTTTGTAGTCTGGATAGTTACATAGATTCGTTGCGATGTATGCCTTTGAGGGTCTTGTACTATCCACAGTTTCTTTAGTTGAAAGTGTTTTCTTCATATGCATTTTATTTTCTTCTTGAGACTTGTCATATATGCTTTCCGCCTAGTTGCAAATCTGTGCGTATTGATAAACTCTTGAAACCTCTGGCGTATAAGTAAAACTCACTTTTGATATGGTTATTTATGTCTCAGTTCAATTCAATCAGTTCAATTTGATTTGAAGTAATTGTCAATTCCTGCTTGAGATTTTTCATATATGCTTTCAGCCTTTGTGCACATTTGTGCGTATTGCTAAGTCTTGAGCTTGGTTGCGACATTGCTTTCATGTTTCGCTATAGATTTTGAAATATCTGGTGATTTTGCTTTTGCATTATTGCATTTGTTTTGATAGTCTGCTCTCATAATCTTTTTTCCGGCTTCTTATTTCTTTCAATTTCTGTCTTGACTTGAAGTAATCGCCAATTCTTATAGATTCAGTATAGTAATTCTCTTTTCATACTTTACACTGGTAAATTATTATAGTTTTTCTAATCTTGTAATATTTCATATTTGAACTTAACTTTCATTTTACAATGTTATCGTTATTCTCAGTGTAGACTTTGAAGTGCGCTGATGATATCAGTGATCTACATGAGAATATTCCATAGACTATAGACATTCTTGTCTAGGGCTTTGGAATGCACCTATGGTGACCCTAGAAAGTTGTCTTTCTCTCATATTTTTGCTTTAAATCAAAATTCGAATTCTTACCTATCATATTTATTTCTATTTCTTGTTCACTAGATTTTTTTTATAACTCCAATTTTGCACCTACATATATCGTAGACTTTTGCATACAATTTTTGCTTGCGGCATTACTCTCATGTATCATGATTTATTAAAATATCTTGTGATTTTCGCTTCGCTATTTTGCTTTTTACATATGCTCACTTCGTTTCTCATTTATTACTCATGAAACTTTTAATATTTTGCTTACTTTTAAATTTTTTTGAGAACCCTTTATAAAATCATGCTCATATAGCTTTAATATTTCCTTTCACTTTATGATTTTAACACTATTAGATTTACAGTTGCACTTGTGTTGCACTTAGTTTTTTTGGAAATTTATTTTGCTCTTTTCTATATTGTACTTCAAATTTTTTTTTTGGTCTGGTTCTTATGTTGTCACATGACCCGAAAATTTTGATTGAGCTTACTCTTGAATTTTAGTTCATTGATTGAACTTAAGCTATATTTTGACTTTGAAAATCTTACTTCAATATTTCATGAATGTCTCTTATATACTTTAATTCTCTGAAAATATTTCGAATTATTTTGTAGTCTTACAGACTGCTGGCGCCCGACAATTTTTTTTGTGGAATCAGAACTGCACTTAGTTAACATCTTTTTTGATTAAAATACCTTCGTGATCAAGTTTTCATTGGTTTAGTACTTGTAAATTGTTTTGTTATATAACTGGAATTCTTAATAGAATTTATTAATTTCTTTTGATTTTCATATTTTGAAAATAGTAATGCACAGTTTTTTTATATTGGATATTGGTTTAAAATATCACTGTAGATCATAATCTTTTTGGGTTTGGAGTATTGCGAGATAATCTGGCAATTGTTTTGAGTAAGATTATTATTTTTTTTTAGTACCTCTTATGGTTTAGGTACTTACTTAGTTTTGAAGTTTTTAGTAGTCAGTCGTGCATTTTGGATGCCATTGTGATTCGTGCTTGGACTACTGCTGAAACTTTTGGTTTATTATTTTTCTCGTCTTAGGTATGACGATGTTTTGTGTTTTGGGTTTTTCATCATATGATGATAGTTTTTTTAAGTGCAACTTCACTGTACTTTTCAGCGAGTTGGTGCTATAACCATCCCTCTTGTTTGGTAGACTTGAGGCTATCCCTTTTTCTTCCAATTCTCTTCTAACATTTTTGTTTCTACCTTACTTTTACTACTTGTTATCTGGTCGAATGGTTGTACATTTGTCCTTCCGTGATAACTTTCAATTTCCTTGTAAAAAAAAAAATTCTTAAATGCTTCTTCGATTTTTTTTTTTTTTTTTGGTTAAGTTGGGGCGAGTGTAACGGTTTCACCGTCCGATCGTATTTATTAAATCACTTCTCGATTATCATTTCGTTAATCCCATCTCTAGCTTTTTTGCTTGGAAAATTTTCCGCTTGGAGCGCTTGATGCGGAGTTCCTGATCTGCGATCTTCCTCGCGCTTCCTTTTCACTTGAGCCGCCGATCGAGCAACGGCTAGAAATTTCTTCTCAGTAGCACAAGGTTATATAGCACCATGTGCTAGAATTTTCTAGAATGTGTGTCCGTATAGGACAAAAATGATTGGGGCCACCCCCTTTCTCTTTCCCTTTCACTTTGCCTAGCCTTGGCCAATATTTTCACCCATGCATGTACCTTGGCAGCGCCATCGCCTTTAACTTCGCCTACAACTGGTTGTGAAGCCACTATATGGAGGTCACCCCTCATAACTGGGACCTCCCCTTCAAGCCCCTGGCCATCCTGGCTTCAGTCGAGTAAAAATGGACCAGCGAAAGATAAGTCGATAGCGTTATAGCAGCGCCAAAGATGTAAAACTTATTTTGTTATTTTTGTAAAATTGTAATGTAATGAAAATGCCTTTTTTTTGTTAAATAAAATCTGTTAAATTTTTGTGTTCTGTTTGTTCTTCTATCCTCTAGCCATGCCATGGTCGACACACAGCTACACGCCTGTAGATGTTTTCATGCCACTGACTGAGCTACCGGAAGCTAATTGTAACCCCCTTTCTGTGATTGTGCAGAAAAGTTGGAATCTTCATTGCATTCCATCTTTTCTGGACTTTTTGCGGAAAGGAAGCGTTACAATGGCATATTCCATCTGGTTTGTGATAACCCTGGAACAGCATAATAAGAATGCTCAAGACAGTTTAGGAAACTGCAGAAGAACCATTTTTCATTAATAACAAATCGAGATTAGGTTCATATATGCGAGACTAGCGTTACATTTTGTTTGAGATTGCAAATCCCATCTATTTTGTAATAGCAATGTAGCAATATAGCATTTTTTATTTATAACAGATAAAAATTGGGTACATCTATGTGAGACTAGAGCGGTACATTTTGTTTGGGATAGCAAATTCGATCTGGTTTGTGATAGCAATGTAGCAATATAACATTTTTCATTTATAACAGATTAAAATTGAGTACATCCATGTGAGACTAGCGGTACATTTAGCTTGGGATAGCAAATTCCATCTGGTTTGTGATAACTTTGGAACAACATTGTAAGGATGCACATGAGAAGTTAGGAAAAGCCGGTACCATTTTTCATTAATGAACGACAGAGATTAGTTACGTCTATGCGAGGCTAGCGTTATATTTTGCTTGTGACAGCAAATTCCACTTGGTTTGTGATAACCGTGGAACAGGTGTAAAATTATGAACATGTCAGGTTAGAGAACCGGCAATGTATACCTTTTTCACCAGATAAAGAATAGGCACCTTATGCGACGTTAGCGTTACATTTTGCCTGTGATAGCAAATTTCACTTGGTTTGTTGGAAAATCTTTATCAGAATGTTTAGGTTTTATCTATGAGAGACTAGCGTTACATTTTGCTTGTGATAGCAAATTCCACATGGCTGGTGATAACTATGGAACAGGACCCTACGTATGAACATCTCCGGTTAGGAAAGTTCTAATGTTCAGTAATAACGGAAGTTAAATATCATTATGCCCGGCTAACGTTACATTTTGCATAGGTGGCACTCGAAAAGCGGGGCGCTCTGGATTGTGTTGTCTTAAAGGCCATGTAGTCTATTTCAATAGATGACGCATCACCACGACCTGAGGTAACGGAAGCCATAATAGAAATTGTCGCATGCAGGGATGCGTGCTTGGACTGTGTACAGCAGCATGTGAGCTGTTCATTAACTGCAAGTGGCAATACTCTATCACATTAAAGCAAAGAACTCAGGAGTACTCTGACAGAGAGACCCAGAGATATCTTGCTCTTCGGTGTAGGTCTGACCAAGTAAGTCAATCCTAAACAGGAATCAGATAAACAGAGCGGTAACTGAACGCCAAACGACCGTACTGACAACATCAACCCACTATTGCAGATGAGGTGTGTAGATCATCATGGACATTAACGCGTATTCATCATCAATGGCAGAGCTTTAGGAGTGGCGCTAAAGTCCTGAGTTGGACACAAGTGGTCACTTGCCATTCAGATGGCGACTGGTTTAGCACTTTGCCGTAGATGAATCTCATTAGTCCGTCTATGAGTTGCTTAGCTGCGGTGCTATCAGTAAAAAAGTTGAGCTAACTAAAAATCAGCACCTATACAACTTTTTCTTGCCCCCAGGTCTGACGGGTCAACACGTTTGATTCCTTACCTCAAGGCTGTTTGTTTATAGGGATATAACAGTTAAGACGGCTCCGACGCAGTGAGTTTCAAGCCATTTACAAGGATTCAGCTGCTTCAAAACTGACACTCTATTTTCAATATTTTTGAATGAAATTCATACAGTATGTTGAGAAGGTGCTATAGGAGCACTTTTTGAAATTTTTTTGCACAAGTTTTATGATGGATTGAAGTGCGCACTTTTTCTGTTCAACTTCTCGATTTTTTTTAAAAAGAACCTAGTGAAAAAAAATAAAAAATGGCTCTATTGCACCCTGTGGGGTTTTGTTTTCAGCACTCTGTAAAAATTTCATCCAAAAATATCAA